ATTATATGCCACTTGCCACTCTTTCCAAGTTCAAACTGCCTTTCCATCACTTAACCAGCATCCGTAAGAGGAGAATGCTACAAGATATGTGTGCTAATAGTTGCAAAGTATTTAGATTTGAATATTTGAACGTCCAAGATACAATCACAGAATCCAACATATAAAATTACATTGCACAGGTTCATTGTACAAAACTTACGTTTGACACAACTGCATATGCGAATTCCATAACAAACAGATTCCAAGTAATTTTGTGGAGATTGATTCAGCATGAAATAACATGAAATCTAAATTGCAGCAATTCACTATTCCTAAGACTTCAAAGACATGGCTCAAAATTGCAGCAATTTTTGGCTGTGTTAAGCATGGCTCAAAATCAAATCACAAGGAACAAAACATTTGTTCTTACCGCGCCTCATTTTAACTACACCTCTGAAGACCTCAATGTTGTTGTAGCACAATGCAAGTGTTCCAATTGCCATAATCTGCCACAGTATAAGTCAAATAACCCTTAGTGGGGTCAAATTATTAAAATAACTATTGCCATGTACATTATAATTAAACAAAAAATGTGAATGAACTAACCCCGTTTTCCCCCCAAAAAAAAATCTAGATGTATAAAGAAAAATAAGTTCCACATCATAACATCAGATTGAACCAAGTAAATCCACAACAAAAGTACTGTAGCTTGTTTTAATCCAAATTGGAGGCTAACACCTATGTATGGCCCAGGCAGCTTTCTTAATCCACACTATATTAACAGAAATCAGCAATGCTTTATAGCTTAAACCCTTGAACACTCATGATCTAGCACATCCCTAAACCTTAGGAAGATCTACACTCTTGCATTTGTTGCACATTAAATTTCAATTAAAATTTTCTGTTTCGAGGTACACCACTAAGTTTCTGCAAAACACTATAAATATTTGTATAATAGTGGTTATTATCACACATCTTTCGGACTGTGTTAAACAAAAAACTTAAAAAGAAACTGAAAGAACATCATAGTTGTTTTTCATTTTTTATTTGAACTTGAATAGAAAGCTGCTAATGAAATAATGATTCAACTCTACTGAAACATAACATGATATGCAGATAATATAAAACATGCTGATAAATGACGGTATATCATTGCAAGACAAGCGACATGAACTGAATAACAGTTAAATCTTAAATCAGAAGTAATAAGTAAATGAACATCACCTGGGGTATAGCACAAAAGCGAAATATTGCCAAGTCTCGTAAAGCAGACATGTATTTTAAACAATCTTCACCATGCATCAGAGCATTAGTGACCATGTCATTTAAGCATTGCACTGCCTTAACAGAGTTCTCCTCAGATTTCAAATCCTGGATTATAAAATTTAAATTGGAGCAACAAAGAAGAAAATAATACGTGAGCACACCTGGACAGGGAAACAATTTAAAAAGGTATTCATGTCTGTAAAAAAAATGTGACAGAAAAGTTGATTTCACTACTACACCATCAAGTAATAAGAAATTCACGTGATATTAATGAAATAGCCAATGGGGGAGAAAGAGGCAAAAGAATGATTATTGCTAGACCAAGTGCCCCTTCAGTTTAGAGTTTGATAGAATTGATTCTGATGAAATTGATTTTAAACTGTTGAATATAATTGATATGTGTGCATAAATTAATCTCAACCACATATTTGCCTTTGAAGGTGTTTTTCCATTGGAAAATGCAAGAATTGATTTTCTAACTTTTCAAACGAAATGAGGCTACATATACATCCTAATGTATAGAGCCTAACCTCAAGTTTGTTAACATATTTACTCCAAATCTGCCGTGGCCAAAACATGCGTGACTTGGGGATCTCATTGATGTCTTCCAGATAATCTCGAATAATGTTTGTTTTCTGCAATCTCAAAAGGTAATCTGAAATGTAAGTAAGCAATTGCAACAATTCTGTTATATATATATATATATATACACACACACACGTGTGTGTGTGTGTGTGACTATCAGGATACCTGAAGAAACAAGCCCATTGAATTGGAAAGGGAATCTGATGCCAGATCTTCTGAACCAGAGGCATGGAAAAGTTTTGATAAACCCAGTCCAACAAGTCCTGCCACGTAGTGACAATATTCATCGTAGTCATCAATTGTTTCTACCTGAAAATTTTATATAAAAATAAATAAAATCTCTGGCATAAATCAAGATGATCTTTCTATGTTGAAAGAATGGCAGAATTCCCTTCACAGCATAGTGCTCTCTGTAAATCAGAATTTAGGATAGATGCACCGATAATAATTATAATAACAGTATAACATCCAATGATTAAGAAAATGTTGTGTTGAAATAAAACTACTAGACTATCACTTTTCAAGACCTTTCATTATACTGCCCCTCTCACTAAATTTTCATCTACCTAATTGAAGCACCAAAAATCATTAAAAAAACCAACATTAAAAACCAGAAACCAGCAGATAGAGACATCATTCAAAGGAATAACAAACTTTACATAATGTCATATCAGTCAGAGGTTAACAATATTAACTATAACTAAGTTAATGAAAGGAATATATGCAAAGTAGAAGCCATGTGTGACAAACCTCCTTGCAAATAAATTTGGCCATTCCAGCACCCATTCTTTTGGCAATGTCCTCAATTGCTTCCTGATAGCTGTAAAAATCATTGACCAACTTTCAATTTTTTGTCATAGAATGCACAGCCATAACTAATTACATAAATACATGAGAAAAACTAATAAATGCAGCGAATCTATAGTCCATATACACATCTCACAGACTTAGCTCAGTTGTGAAATATCTTCAATTTGAACAATATGAATACAGAGACCTTAAAAAGTATTTTTACATGTAATCCTACCAAAGACAAAGTGGAATGTAACTAGCAATAGACAGATAACCAGATGTTTCGATAATAACTTGTGAAAAAATACAAAATAAAACCTCTATGATATAACATGGAAACAATTCATAATTCTTATCGATCATAAACACAAAGCACCATACGTATCCATCAATAATCAACATAATAAGTAATTTCATTAAAAGGTGCGTGACTTTGACAACCTACACACCAACAACATGTCACAGCTGTTCTGTATGGAAATTCCAGACTTAGCTCAGTTGTAAAATATCTTCAATTTGAACAATACAAATACACAGAGACAAATTATATAATGAAACCCCCTTTAAACCTTAAAAAGTATTTTTACGTGTAACCAAGTGGAATGTAACTAGCAATGGACAGATAACCAGATGTTACGGTAATAGCTTGTGAAAAAATACAAATACAAAAACCTCTATGATGTAACATGGAAACAATTCATAATTCTTATCAATCACAAACACAAAGCACCATAGGTATCCATCAATAATCAACATAATAAATAATTTCATTAAAAGGAGCATGACTTTGACAATCTACACCAAAAAAAACATGTCACAACAGTTCTGTGTCCAAATTTTGAAATTCCAGACAGAAAAGGGATAACAAATTGAATCTCACAAATGTTATTCACAAACTAACTCTAAATGAAATTAGTAACGTGTCTTAATGATACAGTACCCCCACCCCCCAAACAAAAAAATTTCCCTAAGAGGAATAAACAATAACATAAAAATCAAAGGGTTGCTTCTGATAGGATCAAGGATGGAAACAAACAGCAACTCGATAACCACATATGCAGCAGAATATTAAAGTTAAATTTAGGTAAATATGCAAGGAAAATAACTGACTTCTTTCCAAGTTCCAGAAAAGCAGTTGAAACGTGATGAAACTGGTCCATTAAAACTTTGTACTCCTTTGTGCCACCTTGATACATTAGAAACAATTAGCGTACAGATCAGCATCAATAATTCATGCACATATACAATAAAATCATTATCCTTATCATTGATAATGGTTGTCTTTAATATCATTAAAAAGCAATTGCTATGGGTATGTAGTTTAAAATCCAATCTGATTTCTGAAAAACTAGATCGATGTGGTTAAATTGAATACTTCCTGCTTTAAGAAACAACTGATAGGAAGACGGTTGTTCAAATTGTATTGGATCTTATCTTGGCAAGAAATTAAAAAAAATAAAATAAAATAAAGAGCAAAAAGAATGACACTCACATGAAAAGTGCCAATCACGATCGTAAACATGACTATGAAAAGCTATCAGTATTGGCACCTTAACATCTGTAGCTATGCTAGTATCATCCTCTGTCAACAACAAAAAAATGGTTACAACCATATAGATAGTCTTTTAATTTCTAAAGAATGGAAAAGCTATCCTATAGAACTGTTTGAGGTTAAAACATACATCATTCAAAGGCAATAGCTACAACAGGCAGCAAATTAATAGAGGCTTAGAATAGTTTCGGCGTAAGTCAATTATGCGTGCCTTGTACAATATTTATGCTCTTTTAGAACGTGCAAGAACCTCCAAAAATATTTATAAAAAAAAAAAAAAAAAAAAAAAAAAAAACTCGTGTAACTGTTCTTCTGTTCACTTTTCATTTTCAAAAGCTTCATAAAAGAACTGAATCTTAAATTTATTCCCTAAGCGGTAAGACGATAACATCAATCCCTGCGCAGCATTCAACGCTTGAAAAAAAAAAACAAATAAAGAAACAAGTGAAAATCAAACACCGAACAACCAGGTCATCAACACAGCGTAGTTAATTAAAACCAAGACCTATCATTCATAATCTAAGCAACAGAGTATCGACAATAAACAGCGCGATGCTTCAAATCGAAGATACGAATACAAACCAACGGTGTCGAGCGCTCGAAGAACCAAATAGAATATGCAAACCTGCAAAAACAAAACAAAAAACAAGGTCAATTAAGTAAAACGCCGAATCAAGCGCAGAAGCAACGCACAGCGTAAATGAGAGGGGAAATGCAAGGAACGCGGAACTAACGGCGTTGCGAAGTTCGGTACCGAGTTGCTGAATGACGAATGCGAAGCTTCGAGAAACCTTGTGGAGCATAGTGTAGCAGAAGGCCCAGTGTGGCTCCGGCGGGATCTGCTTTTCAGCGTTTCTCGCCGCCATTTTCAGCTTCATCAGCGGGTAGAAGTCATCTGGATGCTTCAGAATCGCTCCCAAACTCCCCATGCTTTCTGTAATTCGAGTTTCGATGACCACGATTCGCGTTCGATTGAGTCCTTGTTCTCACTATACTGTGGATCTTCGCACGCGAATCGCGACGATGGTGGTGGCTTCTTCGCCTATCTGCGTGTGTGTGTGCGCGCGCCCCTCGTGATTGTGGCAATTATGGAAAACAAGTTTGAATTTATATACTGTTGAAGATATTTCGCATCGTTAAAATGCACGTTTTGTCACTTGGTTCCGCATTTTTGCAGTGACCACAATGCCATTGACAAGTCTTCAATTTATTCCGATATTTATTATTAGGCTGACCTATTAGTTAAAACTTAAATGCCGTTTCTTACATGATGATGAAACACTTCCTGAAAAATATCCAAATTAAAATCGGAATTTTATGAGTTTTAATATTTACCTTATATTTCCCTTCAAAAAATATTTACCTTATATTCATCTAAATATTTATTTTATATCGTTATAAATTATAATTAAAAATATTTTTGAATGTATAAACTATATCATAATTAAAGTTAATAATAAATAAATATTTTTAATATATGAATTATATTTTAGATTTATAATAAATAATTTATAATTTATATTGAAATATATGGTTTTTTTTAATTATCTATAATTTTTTCTTAAAATATTATAATTAATATAAAATTAACAAATAAATAAATTGAAAGTGATACCGGAACTTGAGAAAAAACAAAAAAATTTAATCTCATTATAAAAAAATAGTTAAAACTTCTTTTTTAGTTAAAAATAATAAAACATTTAAAGAAATGTTTACCTATACAGACAAAATATCATCTCTTACATAAATGATTTCTCGAAATCGTACACATGCATTAACGAATTAGAATAAATAAAGCATAACTACTCCTTTCACAATATTTAATTACTTAATTCATCAAAATTGTAAAATTGATTAAGTTAGATGATAATTAATTTTATACTTTCTCTATTTCGTTTTATAACACGTTTAGTGATGAAAAAACGGTTCTAAATTGATTTTCATTTTATAAAATTAATAAAATATCTAATATTTGGCTCAAATATTTTTTTTATTTTTTTAAAATATAATAGTTATGCGATTTTAATCCATCAAATTTTAATTGAATGATTTTAATTTCTTAAATATCACAATAATATAATTTGACCTCTTTGTTTTTAATTGATGAATTTTAACTTCTCAAGTACCATAATTTTATAATTTTAGTCTATCACAATTAAATAAATTTTTTACCTATTTAAATTACATTTATTCATAATTTTAGTAATAATAAATATATATCATTTAATACATTATTAAACATTATAATATATGTAATTTAAATAAGTCAAAAATTATACAATTGTAATACTTGAAAAACTAAAACTGCTTAATTAGAACCTTAGGAATCAAAAACACAATAGAGTTTAAATAAATTTTTTTATTATACCTTTAGAGACAAAACTCTCTATTTGAAGTTATGTCCGACGTCACGAAGGCACACCTAGCGTCATATAAAAAATCTGCTATGACAATCTTCAAAAATTGCTTAAAGAACTTAAAAAATAAAAAATCTAAAGCACGCAAAGCATCCAACAATCAATTCAAGTCATGTATGACTCATAATCAAGCCAAAACAACTCATGCAACATCATATAAACTTAAATCACCAAAGTTCACATTGACACCCAAGAACACCAAAACCCTTGACCCTCCAATATGATTTCAACCACATTTTGCTCATATTTGATGAAAACAACGACACAATTCGTCAATCGATCAAACAATTTGTTCTAGCTTCCCTTACCTCAAACTCCAAGCAATATGGGAATGTGGAAAAAAGAAAATATGAACTTTCGAGCTCCGCACTCTTCCAATTTAGATTCTATACTTCCAAATACTTAAATTGCTACCTCAAGGACCTAAGAAACCTTTCATGCCTCCAAGAAATCCAAAATGAAGAAGAAAAAGTCAGAATCTCTAAAGCCTAACTCTTTTGTTTATCTGTATAATTCATTAAGAATAAACTTACGAAGTTCAATTCTAAAAGGAAACTACTCATACTCTTTTACCTCAAGGTCAACTGGACCACAAATCAGAGGCCTTTCACTCTATGGATCACTCTACAACCCTCAATTACCTGAAAATTAATTAGTTAGCTTAAAGTGATACATACATACATACATACACACACACACACATATATA